AAACAAACAGACTGTATATGCACTGTATATTAATTATTTTATTCCCTCATTTGCACAGATCACAATGATGATGATTAAAACATTTTAATTTACAGAGAAGGGCATATTTAAAATTTATTTTACATCCTTGGCACGGCATTTAATTAATTAATAAAGATCGCCCTTTAAAAAAATTGCATTCCAACCCCTCAATCGCCGATAGACGATTGAATCAAAAATCACGCCATCCCCAGTTTAGCGTTGCAGCGCTTACAGATAACTTTACTTCCTCCCAGCCCACCGATGGGAAAAGTTTAAAGGGGCAATATCATGTAAAATCAACTTTTTGAGTTTTACATCATGTTATAATGTTATACTCTCGTAAAAAACATGGCCAAAGTCTTGCTTTGACTCATTCATGCATGTTTGAGAAATCCTGCAGCGTTTTTAGGCAGCCATGCTGAGGAGCAAAACAACAGGTGGGGACCAGAAAACGCCTTTTGCTACCAGAAACGCCCCTGGGACGTGTCTTTAAGCCGAACTTCCTCATGGCAGAGCGCCCCCCCCCCCTTCCCACACAACCCACCCATGACTCCTGCAGGCTCTCGGGTGAAAGTGAAAGTGAAAGTGAAACCTAACTGTCTGCTGAGCTCTCAACATTAGTTCTCACTCAGTGAAGCTCTTTTCAGATTAAAAATACCTTTGAGGAAATGTATTTTCGGCTGCCAAGTAAACTGCATCGAGCCCCCTGTGTTTTTTTCCCCCCCCCCCCTCCAAAAAAAAGGACGGAAGAGAAGCAGAAGGTGTTTCTTAAAGATACAGAGGCCAATTTCAAGGTGTTTAGAAGAGGAAGTGATGAGAAGATAAGTTTATTTTTCTATTTAAACATAAAAACAGCATTTTAATAGCAGCTAAACGTGGTGTATATACTTTATTATGGTATAGTATTTAAATATATGCCTGAGAAACACATACAGTAATATTGGCCCTTTAAAAAAATGCCCTGAAGAATCCGGCAGCTTCCGTCATGTTTCCCTCGGCTGCAGCTCAGGTTCATGTGGGCGGCTGCACGCTCAACAATAAAGGCTCTCATTGGATGAGACGTGTGATGAAGGCTATCTAAAACCAACAGTAATCATGATCCCGCCTCCCTGTGGCGACCACTGGGTTTGTGTGTGTCTGTGTGTGTGTGCGTCTTCACAGGCAACACGGAGAACAAAGATCAGATGGAGAAATATAAAGAAACTGTGTTAATGCGCGTTAAAAAATTATTGCCGTTAAGCGTCGGCTGCGTTTGTGTATTCGTGCAGTGTACTTTTTTTTTACTACTGATCAGCAGAAGGTTTTTTTGTTTGTTTTTTAAAGAAACTTTAAAGTTCCTATGACATACAGTACATATCCTCCAAATACAAACAGTGAAAGAAAACATCTTTATATTTAAGGAACTACATAATACAAGAAAGGAAACCTGCTCCACATTGTTTAGTGAAACATTACTTGTAGGGATGAACAATATGAAAATTTCAGCCGAAATCGATATCCAATATAATTATTGGTGTTATGGCCGATAACCGATATTTACCGATATTACACAAACGTACAAATTATATTATACATATATACACAAACACACTTGGGTCTTTTTTTGATACCATAAATAAACAACCAGACCTCTGACATGTCTCCACTTCAGTTATTCCTGTCTGCAGCGTAAATATCACTATCATGATCAAACAGATGCTGCTCAACCAACCATCTCCCCTCCCAGAACAGAAACACAAAGCAAAAAAGGGAAATCAATATCGGACATTAATATCGGCCCAGTTTTACATATCGGACCGATCCCGATATTCTAAAAAAATGACCAATGTCGGCCAATACCGATATCAATACCGATATATCATGTATCCCTAATTATTTGAAGTCTGACTCTTCTTCATCTCTCTGATAGAGACTCAAAATAATCTAAAGTAACATCAGATTCTTCTCTCCAGTCTGTTAGTTATTGTAGCAACCCTCTGTTTACATTCAAACATTCCCCTTTGACATCACTTCCTGTTTCTTCACATGCAAATATCTCAACAGCTGTTCACCTCAGCTGCGTGAAATCGTTTTTTTTGCAACGTGTTATTAGTGTCATCTTTCCAGAAATGCATCCATGTTTATTACAAAAAGAGTGATGTCACAGGCACTTTAAGCAGAACATCAATCATATTTGTTTACACCAAGCATCCTTGTGTAAAGAATGTATAAGTTTTTACACATTCTTACACATTGTGTATTATTGAGGTATAAAGCTGTCATGTCAGCTTTACAAAAACTGGATTCCTTTTAAAGGTTGAAGTTCTTCTAATATTTAGTTGTAGCCTATTATAAATCTTAAATCTACTTTTATAATTAAAGGATTAGTTTTATAAATAAAATATAAGATGCTGGCTTTGATGCCACAGAAACCTAATTTATCCTGCTAATAATGAACCTCATACCATAAATTGACTTTTTGAATGCGGAAGATTTTTCTCACTTAACAACTTGACTCATCAGCACGGCTTCAGAGACTTTCCGTCCTGTCTGGTCCAATAACTCACAACACAATTTACAGCCAACATTACCGATGACACAAACAGAGATTCTATTATAACTCAGAAATTGTTTTCCTTATAAAGCTGGTTCCTGCTCCTCACGTGTTTGAGTCAGTTTATTGTGTGCAAATATGGTGACCTGGAGTGTGGGGTCCAAGAAAAAACATTTTAATCATTTTATAGCATTCTTCAGCAGTTTGGAATCATGTATAAAAAGTATTAGCAGTTATTATTTTAATGGTTGTAGATAGCTCTTTAAACAACCTCAGTTTGGAGAAACAGTTTAATTCACATCTGACTGATGAGCTAATAGCTACTCTGAATATAATATATACTGTATATTTCAACTAACCAACTAACTAACTAACTAACTAACTAACTAACTAACTAACTAACTAACTAACTAACTAACTAAC